TATTAAATCTAAAGCAATCACAAAGCAGGAGATGTAGATAAAGGGAGGCAGACGGGCTGGAAAAGGATTTAAAGCTTTGAGATGAAATTACGTGGCTTGTGCAACAGAGATCTTCATATTTTACCTTTTGTGTTTCTTAAAGAGTACTCCTCAGATTTACAAATTTCCCTTTGAATTATCACTCAAATCTTTTGGCCAGTCTTTTTCTCACACATGTCCAAACACTGGCTCTGTAGCGTCTATATTTAGCATTGCACTCCTCATGACGGATATTAATTTCAAAAGATAAACAAAATTGAGCAGCAGAACAAGATGAGTTTTTACTCGAAACATGGCACTTACATTACCCACAATGCAACTTGAGCACCACTGTTTAAACCAGACATGCATGTATTTTATAGTAATGCAGCCTTGAGCCGATAGCGTCAAGCAGCGGTGAGAAGCGGGCTACAGTCTGGTACCCTCCCTTTAGTCTTCAGACCCAACCGACGCCGACTCATGTGACACCACTTGAGGCAATTACAAATGACATGCAAATTATTGTCTCATTCATACGCTAGAATGGGAGCAGGTTTCCTGTAAACACACCCGATGTTAAGAATCAGTGTGCTTCATCTTTTATTGAGCTGCTGTGTTAGAGACGTTAAAGGGAAATTCTGGTATTTGTTGTCATAATTCTTGGTTATAATAACATTTCACTCACCACCTCTATCGTACAGATTGGAGGTGGACTCCAGGACGAACAATTTCAATCGCACCGATCAGTGCATGCGTCTGCTATAGATTTCAAGAACGTTTCAAATCAACAGAAATCATGTCAAACAGCTGCCTATGAGTCTGACACAGAAAGTTTCTCCTTAGATACTCATCGTCCTTGCCCTGACTAAGGTTCTTCTTGATGCATCCCATATTTCCACTTTTTCCCCAAGTTTTTAAAATTTGGGGAATGGGGACTAGAGTGGCAAATAGTGCGAGTCTCCTACAGCTCTTCAAACATTTCAGATCGACAGAAATCTTCTCAAATACGTGTCTCCAGGCATTTCCAGGGGACTTCTTTCTGTCTGTATTTTTGAGACGGATTCTGCTGCACTGAAGTTTTGTTGGAAAGCTAAGAGGCTCACGCTCACTCGCACTTGTCTGTATTTCCCAAATGTCTATGGAGGTGGTAAGTACAATTTTATCATGAAGAATAGTCATAAGGGACACAAATATGATAATAACATCCAGGTACAAATTTCCCTTTGAATTATCACTCAAATCTTTTGGCCAGTCTTTTTCTCACACATGTCCAAACACTGGCTCTGTAGCGTCTATATACTTATGGCCTCTCCTCTCCAAACAGCCATCAGTCCTTAGATCCTGATGGCGAGACAAGGCGGTTTGCTAAGTTCACCTCAGGCTTTCTAAGCCCCTGCGGCCAATCCTTCTTAGTCTCACCTGAGTCAGGGATAAATCTCACTTATAACTATCCTTCTATTCTGCCAACACATCTAAACACACTCTGATCACTTTCAACTGTGTCCTAATGGGGAGGCATGCCATTACATCACTACACCCTCCCCCACCTACCTTGTTCGTACAGTCACTCTCTCTGTCGCTCTCTCTAGCTGCCTGTTTCTTTCTCTGTGTTCCCTTCGTTAATTATGCCCTGCACTGTCAAACCTGCTCATGCTGCGCCCGAATTCCCCTCAGAGGGTTTATTATTAGGACACTGGCCACCTGGGCTGGCTTTAACCCCAGGGAGGTGCATCAGGGATGGCCCATTGCTGGGTGTGGGTGGCCCGTCCGCGTGGCCCGTCCGCGTGGCCTCAATGGCCCACTGCTGGGCAGGGCAGGCCAGCCGGGCCTGGCAGGGCTACACTGGGCAGGGAGTATGAGGTATGGCCATAGGCCCAGTCTGGGAAGCACTGATCCACGCTACCAGCTGCCATCTTCCTCCCCTTCCTGCATGCTCCCCTTCCGCTGCTGCGCAGCTTCTCTCTCTTCTCATGTCTATTTTTAGAGCTGGCAGATTTCAACCTTCTAAAACGGGCAAATGTGTTGTGGAACAGGAAGGTGTGTCTTTCTTAGACATACTACCGTGCGCAGTCAGCCAACTCGTGCACACGTTTCGCACACCCCTGCTGGTCCCCCCGCTAAGGTGAGGCACACTGTACATTCCCGTACACATGCACGCATCCCATTTGCATTCGGCTGCTCTCGGGACCCAAGGGAGGTGGTTGATTGAAGGTTTCGGTTCAAAACCAAAAAGCGAAATAACAAACAACTGTACGATGAGAGCTTTTTGAATGCAGCGTTTTTATATCGACACTGTGTGTACTACTGTGTGGAACTGTGGTCTGATTTCATCTTTCTGCTTAGCTAAGCTTGGATCTTCCTCACCTCTCCCTCATCATTAACTATCCCCCTCTCCAACACCCCCCCCTCATGCCTCCTTACTCCATCATCCTCAACCGCAAGCTACGACTCGAGCTATCATACAGGGGAACTACAAAGAAACTACTGAAGCTCCTAACACGGCACTAGTGACAGTAGCATCTTTGTCAAAGTGCTGGAAGCCCGTCATGTTGGAAGAAGCCAACATGCTGGCCTTTTTGGCTGAGGAGGAAGGATGCTGCATTCCCAGGGAATAAGAGAGATAAATAGAGTGGGGGAAAAAAATGCATCCCTGTGGAGATGGAGGGACCAAAAACGACTGTAAACCTATGCAAGCAGAGAAAGCGACAGAGTTCCTCAACATCAAAACCCCCCCAAAAGTGAATTTTCCCATAGTTTTTTTGGAGCATACTGTAGCACTCGTAGGGTGATGGGAGCAGGGGGAAATATTATTTAGCATCCTCCGCAGTATGTCTCAAGTCTTATTAAGGATGAGCAGCTCTGCGCATTGGGTGATGCAGTCTAATTTCTTTTTTTTAACTTGCAGTGCCCCGACATTCCCTTGACTTGTGGGATTGCTGAATGAGTGAATGTAGATGTACACCAATTGGATAAGAAACCGGCTTTTCTGTAAAGCTGCCAAATCCGGGGGCAATTGGAAGAGGAAAAAAAAATGCTGCTTGCATGAAAAGAAATGATCTGTATACTAATAACCCTTAACTAATACTCCGTCAGTGTGTCCGAAAGAAAGATGGAGCAGATGTAATAACCTTGATTAAAGTGTCCCCAAGTGATATGCAGTGATTCCTAACCCAAAGTGCTTAGATTGTCATTTGAAAAATATGGATTATTACATGCCAGAAAAGTAATTTTTTGCTCAATAGGACCTTACATAGCCAAAGATTAGTCAAATAATGATCTAGTGACAGTGTTAAACCTACTCAGCTCTCTCATTATGTCGGCATTTGAGTCTGACATCCCTCATTTCTTAAGTAAACTTTCATCTCACAGCTTCTTCATTCTCTAAATCCCCAGTCAGCAGTAGGGGGCCTGGTTCAATCCCCCCACAGTCGCAGATGATCTGAGAAGAACTACAACTTTCCACTGTAACGACCCCGTCTGAAGTGAAAGTGCTGACTAAGACCAAACTCCTTCCCGTCCCGCCCTCTGTCCCTCTTTCTCTCTCTCGCCGGCTTAGCAGGGCACTCTGGATCCTTAGAATGGAGCGACGCTGGCCAACCCTTGTAAGGAAGCCCATTAAGGAACCCATCAATATTTCATCATTGCTCACTCAGAAACATAGTTATAGAAGTTTCCAGGCCAGGGCCATTAGGGGGCAGACGTCAATACGTTATGGCAGCGAGCATCTCTCTTCAATTCTCCCCCCTTCTCCCCCTTGTCTCTGTCCGTCTCCTGTCTCAGGAGAAAGTCATCGGAGAGGCTTTCTCAAGACAAGGTTTCCGCTACCTCTACATTAAACAAATCATTAACCGTTAGGTATCCAAGGAGCGCAAGATCCTTTCCTGCTCCTGTCAAATGACCCCAAGTACTGTTATTAGTCTCCGTGTAAGGCAGGAAGGAAGGAAGGGAGGAAAACTGGGGGCGGAGGTTTGTTTGTTAAATCTGTTCTAAGGTAACAAATCTCCAGTCGTACAGGATGCAAATACCTAATTAACAGCATGACATGATGTGATGCAGACGAGCTTAAACACTCTCCAGAAACACTTGTTGTGAGATCCTGACTCATGGCTGTTTAGACAAGTCTGGCACCTTCAATACTGGCCAACTCAGTGAGTGGACAGTCGGTGACAGCGGGGCGATCATCAAGAGGATGAACTTGCAGTCTCTCTCTCACACTCTCTCACACACACACACACACACACACACACACACACACACACACAGTGAGTCAAACCTCAAATATAAAACTTTCTTCTGAAGAGGCGGTGGGAAGTTTAATTGCAGTCTTCTTAGTATTGCAATGATTTTATAACCCGTATTTCAAATTATTACACTTGCATTAGCTGGGATGGGAACTAGCCTGCAGGCTAAAGTGTGTTAAATATCGCTGTAGCAGACATTTTAACGAGTTTTCCCGCAGCTCACCCTTCAGTGTCCTTGGAACTAAAAAGGTCCCACTATATGCATTTTACCAGAGGAAATGTGAGGTCCTCTAATCAAACCGGATCCCAGGCTGCCAAGTCCATACTAATGTAAACAACACCTCCGGATCTCTCTAAGGGAGGTCGAGTCCTGCCAAGTCATTGCACTTATGTCATCCCTTTCAGCTCCCTATAGCCCTTACAGTGTGAATTCTGCTGTGTGAATATCTGTCATTACTTTTCACTGTTGTCACTATTCAGCTTAATTGCATAACCCCGTGACCTTGTTGATTTTCAAAATAATAGTTTTCAACTTTTTACACTTCTATGCGTCTTACAAGTGACTTAAACTGTATTTAAATGAAGACCAACCAAGGTGTTCTGCATGTGTGGAGCACCTGTTTGCATTGTTCACACTCTTTACGCTTCAAAACAATATACATAATATATACATTTTATATGGATTTTGAAGTTATTCATGAAGGTGTAAAAGATGCAGTACGAGTCCCGAGGTGAACTCACCAGAGTGCAGAACCTCTCGGGCGGGTTTCCGCATGTGATTCCAGGCGGATCCACCTTGATCCGCATGTATTCCCGCATGGACGCGGTTTTCGGCTGGCACGCGTACTGCTCCCACACCGAGCCCTCATCCGTGCTCACCAGGGACTTGCACAGTTCGTACTGGCCCAGAGTGGAGGCTAAGCAGTGCAGCAGCAGCAGACACACGGCCTGGAGGAGCATGGCAGGCTGGGGGGGGTGTTTTTGGAGCGGGGTCCGGCACAAGGTGAGGGGGCCACGGAGCTCAGAGGAGAGGTGAGGTGCATGGAGTGGTAATCATAAGGAAGTGGTGGACATCCCTACCGCCATACTGCTGTACTGTGAATGGAGAGGTACAGGTAGATTGGCACAGCTCGCCTCCGGGCTTATAGATGCCCTAAACGACAAGAGGTCGCTGTGTCGGGAACTTTCGCTCAGTGTCTCTTCACAGATATCGACGGACTCCACAGAGCCGAGAGGGGGACACTGTCTTGTTTCGACGTCTGACTTCCTGGTGAAGATGAGCGGTGGGTGGAGAGGCGGATAATGTTACAGAGATGAATCTCGGCATACACTTTAACCATAGTGTTGCAGGGTGTTGGGTGAGAGAGGTTCACGCGGGTCCATGTCTCAGAGAGCGGTGTCCTGCTGGGAAACAGTGGAGCTGGTCGGAGAGGACGCTGCGTCTTCAGGTATATCCATTGGACGTTTTGCACTGGCCGAGCTCCTCTGATTGTCCTGTGGCGAAATGAGGACAAATGTAGGGAGTTGGTGTGATGAGCAACGTATCCTCATTCATTCAGCACATCCTTAATCTCTCTGTAAATGCAAAGATACACTTTGTCAGAGCACAGTTTGAGATGACATGCATCCAGCATGGTATTTCTCACTTGCATGAATAAACGTCTAATGTAAGTCTTTGAAATATAGGCTGCATGCGGGTGGGTGGGTGGGTTGTGTTCTCATTTAGTTGCATAATTAACTCCTTAATTATTATAGGCCTAGTAATGGGCGGTAATTTAGCTTGGAAATTTAAAAAACCACCACATTCGTCTTCAGACTATATGAGGAGAACTTTTAAGTGGATGTGTGGCACAATAACTTGGTTACAAGCAGGGCAAGTTTGGTTAAATCCGCCTCTAACCGTCGGCGATATTTAACATGAAAAGTTGTAAATGAAAACACGCAGCTTTGTTTGGATAACATTGGCACGCACACCGGTGGCACCAGGCAGCAGCACGTGTTTTTACGCGCAGAGTTGTATAGGCTCTCCAATGCTGGATATAGAGGGTAGGCTACAGATGTTTGTTTTTAAAATAACTGCACTGCAAGAAATATCAATCTGAGGAGGCATTTAATTGCCTATATCGCCTATTTTCATAAATTACGAGAATATATGCAAAATGACAGTTATACGCACACATCATCTTCATTTTCTTGAATCAAGTGCCATTTTCTAGAGATTTTCTTGATTATTGGCCTACTCTCTTACTCCAGCATATTCTCATTAATCTAATAACAAACGTCAAGATAAACGAACTGCACAGGAAGTAGTTCGTGCCGGATTTATTCACTTTTTAAAATTATAATTTGATTTTAAACTGATTTTAATACATGAATAAATATATATTTATTCCATGGTCGACACTTTTTGCAGCGTGCCCTCGTTTATCTTAATCCGACTGTCACCCCACACTGACAGAAGCCAGGTCCTCGCGCAAGCTGTCCCGCACAGCCCGTGCACTCGGACTTACTTCAGCTGACAAGTGAAGTCGTCAAAGCTATTTCCCGGCGCTGACAGTGTTGTAGGGGTGTGTCGGCTACAGTAGTGCCCCCCCGCCGCGCAGCATCGCTCGCACTACATGTGTGTTGCACATTCCGAGACCAATGCGTTTTAACGCATGAAATAGTGCGAATGAAGCCGAAAGTCCCCCTCACCACTCCGATTATCCCGGAGTGGTTTCGGATATTGTGTTGCAACTCAGTGCAGCTTCTTCTCGGTGCAGACTTCGAAGAGCTTTGGCAAAAATGCATCGTGTTGCGAGATGTTTTGTCAAATCAGATAAAGCACTTACTTCTAACATGCATCCGCGAGTGAGGTCCGGGAACATGCACGTCCCCGTCTTTGGGCAAAAAAAAAGATGCCCCCCCCCCCCGATCATCCACTGAACTCGTTCCACGCCGCGGTCCTCGCTGTACTCCCGTTATCTGGCTGCCCCGTCTCGCTGTTTGTTTTTGCTCTTCTCCCGGATACTTTTTTTTTTTTTTAATCACACCGTGGATGACTGCGCACGGTAGATCGGTGTCCTAGATCTGGAAAGGGCTGGGAAAAGAGGAGTGAAATCCAGCGTCAAGGAGTATCAAAAGTATAAAATATTGACTTTGAGGAAAGGCTTGTGCCCGCCCTTCTTCCCCCCTCTCCTCCTCCTCTTCCTCTTCCTACTTTACAAGCTTGGGTTTACCCGGGATGCTCAAGGGCAGAAAGAAAGCGAGAAAAAAGGCTTTATGGAAAATATCACCCTCCCTCCTTCTCCTCCCTCCCTCTCTCTCTTGCTCTCTCTTGCTCTCTCTGTCTCTCTCTCTCTCTCTCTCTCTCTCTCTCTCTCTCTCTCTCTCTCTCTCTCTCTCTCTCCCTCTCTCTCTCTCTTTGTTAATGCCCAGGCTAAATCCTTTTACCATCACTTTCAATCACTATCTGAGCTTTTATCTGCTCCGGCCCTGCTGCCTGAACTGGGGCGGTGCTCCTGCTCCAAACTGTAACCCACCAGGACCGGTCCGCATTCTGCACCCTGCTCGCTTGAAGGACCAATGGGGCCGGTGTTACTGTACTTTCGCCCTTAATCTGTCCAGATGTGTAAAAAAACAACAAAAAAAAAAAAAAAAACGCTGTTCATGTGGAGAGTGAACTCACAGCTGTCCCTGCGTAAAAAAATTTAAAAAACATTTATACTGATGAGACTTGTAATGTGTCTGCAGCTGTACTGATTGTATATGTACGTGACCTTATCGTACTTTATTATATTATTTATAACATTTAGAACATCAACTGGATATTAACTTTTGCTGTTTCTTCAGCCAGCAGTACGTGTGATATTAGTTAAGTTTATTGCACATGGTTATCAGTGGATCTGAACCTAGTTCAAATGTACACAGGTCAGGTACAATGATGTGTAACGGTCCCATCCTGCAGCAGAGTGGTGCGCTGCCCGTGGTGCTGATATGGAGCGGGGCCTTTAGCCATGTTACTCCTGTTAATCCCCCTCAGCTGTGTGTTGCGGTTGTTGCTCTCCATGCTTCAATAGTCCGTGGAGTTGCAAATCAATGCAGGGTGTGGGGTAATTCAGTGGTACCCAAATTGGGGGTGCAGCTACAGCAGTGATGTCACGGTGGACTGACGCATCCTGGAGTACACTTCTGTGTCACTACAGGATGGCGAGAAGCAGATTTGTTTATATTCGTTTCTTTAAAAGGACAGTGACATCACTGTTGGGTGAGGTTACGGGTGCGACAAAGCACACTTTGAAACCCGCCCAGAGGTGAAACGAGCTCGACGCTTTCAAGCTTTTACAGCCTGACGTTGATGATGTGAGGGACCTGCTGCAGCATCCGCAAGAACCCTATAAAGGCCCCTGCACCTCATTTTGGAAACCACTGGAGTTACTAACACCTTTGTACTGAAAATGCCGGAACAGATGTGCATAATCAGTCCAAAGTGAGCCAGGACAGTGTAATTCACACTTCAGAGACTGAATGGCCGGGGCTGACATTATTCACACCTCTGGTCACATTTTAGGGCAACGGAAGAGGCCAAAAGACGAGGGGGGCAGAGGGAGAACGAGATGTATGATTCAGTGGAAATTATGGACGTCTGTATAACACTGGCAGTACACCCAGGAGAGGATCGATAGTTTGTCCTTGCAGGGCCTTCCCTCTCTTTTTGCATCTTTGCGATGAGCCTTAACCCTTTTTTGTACTGCTGAGGTGTTTTTAGAGGAGAGGAGCCCCCCCCCCCCTCTCCACTACACTGTTAACAGTGCCAGACTGAAAGACAAATTCCCCCCTCGGGGATCAATAGAACATCACAAATACGGCATTCGCTGCTATAACAGGCTCTTGATATAGAATAGCACAGGTCTTTAATCGACGCTGCACGAGGGCAAAGGGGGAAAAAGAGGCCTGCTGCATTTGTCAAACGGCCTCTTGAGTCAAAGATGAAACACCAACTACGTGCAATTTGGTTGAGAAAAAAGTAAAAAGCTTATATTTTACTTTCAGTATTAGACTTTCAAAGGTTTTCAGATATTCTTATGTGCAACAAACATTTTTTTTTCTTCTTCTCGCTTGCTTGGTGTGAGCGATTTTAAAGCAGAGGGTCATCACTGATTCAGCGCTGGTCAGAGAGCCTCAGCCGTGCTGGAAATGTGACTTAGCATGATTAAGCTCCCAACATTTATTTCACCAATGGATAAGGATTACATGTGTAGGCAGAGAAGCTGGTTGCATTTTGTTGCACCCTCTGTGATTAACCCCTCTGTGCTTCTCACAAAAATCCTGATCATATTTAGCCAACTGCACATTTTCCACATCTGGATGAGTTTTAAAACTTAGCTAAATTCACTCGAACGTGCATCAGTAACTTAATAGAAAATGTCAACCCTCAACATGATGAATGAGTGATTTTGTGTTTTGGAATTCAATTATGTCTAACTAAACAAGAGCATCAATAACAATAGAACAGCCTGTCCTGGCTAATAGACCTGTACACGCCACACTATGTAGCACAACAAGGCATTGCAGTATTCATTTCCTGCAACAATGTTGGCGACCATGCTGTGTTCAAAGTGTAAAATTAGACATCCTTCTTCAAAACGGGCTTAATTGTGATTTGGCTGCGTGTGAACATTATGTAATTTCTGTGATTTATTGAACATGATATAGAAATCTGCTCCGTGAATCATTCGGCTCCCCGGAGTGGGCTCACCAAATCTGAAAAGTTGTGTCAAATGCTGAGTGTCAGTAAGTGGAAAGAAAAGAAAAATCAGATGACGGCACTAGTTTGCTTGTTTTTTATTTTCTTCTTTTTTTTGTCACCCTCCATCTTTCTCTATACTCTCCCTCTGTTTCACTCTCACTCTCGCCGCGCTTGTGTTTTGGCAGCGGACAGAACTGTCGGAGTAGCCTGGCTGGCAGACCTTGATAAAAAATATACCCTTCATCGTGGCAGCCTGCAGAGTTTGGACAAGGTTCAGGACGAGCCTCATCCCTCCCCCTATCTCTCGCTATTTGCCGAAAAAGGATGACGCAAAAGTCAACTTGTGCGGGAGTCACGCTCTCACATAAATCAGTTTGGAACTTTGGGAAGGCCACCAAACAAGTTGGGCATGATCAGAAATAATTTATCTATCCATCATGAAATGCTTTGACCAGATGGCCAGGCTGTAATCAAACACACACACACACACACACACACACACAGATACACTTTTCTGTATGTATTTTTTAGGTTTATATTCTAAAAGCTTTGATTGGTTTCATATCTAACATTCCATGCCCCTTTTCCCCCTTTTGGTCAGTAAACCTTTTGTTAACCTCCCAGACTACACAACACCTGTCACTATGGACATATGACAGCCAAATGGGTCCTCCAGAAAAGGAATAGAGACACACACAAAGAGAGAGAGAGAGAGACGAACATGCACACATACACCAATCATGGTCTCCTAGCAACTCCTAGTTAGTGGTCCTACCTTGGGAGTGATGCTCTTTTCACTTGCATCAGGTGTTTGCCCACAAGGGAAACCAGAAATATCCTTGGAGTGACCCTGAAACACAGACACATTTCACCTCATTTCCCACAAACCACATCCAACCCTTTTACCCACTCAACCCCAAAATATATTTCTGAGTTTACCTTTTTTTTTTTTTTGTCAACCCCTTCTGCTGCTATACTTTAATAGAGCTTGAGGCTGACCTCTCTGTTGTTTGTCCTGAGAAGCCGGATTGGTTGAAAGCGGATGCAGTGGTTAAGTATCCAAAAGAAGTGAGCTGTAATGAGCTGGAATAACACCTGAGGGCTCATCCTTCTACATCGCATAGCAGTCACTTTATAAGAAGGGATGACAAGCCGTCGACTCTGAGATTTAGCTGCATCTGAGGAGGGCCCCAGTCGGTGTCCTGTCCCACACTGGGCCAGCAGCAGAAACACTAATCTACTGTGGTGTGTGTGTGTGTGTGTGTGTGTGTGTGTGTGGGTGTGTGTGGGTGTATGAGAGAGAGAGAGAGAGAGAGAGAGAGCGAGAAAGAGGGTTTGAGCATACAAAAGAGGCATTGTTTATATCTATTTTTTTTTTGGGTGTGTGTATGCAGCGTTGCCGGGGTGTGGAAGGTGAATCCATGAGTGTACACATTTGTGTGTGTGTGTGTGTGTGTGTGTGTGTGTGTGTGTGTGTGTGTGTGTGTGTGTGCTGTGTTTGTGTGTCGCGGCTTCTTTTCTGCTTGTCGGTCCGCAGCACGACTGAACCTCCTCAGTGTCCCCGTGTGATCCAGTGATCGATGCAAACCTCTGGAGGTGCCTTTCTCCCCCCCCCCTCTCTCTCTCCCTCTCTCTTTCTTTCTAAGACACGCACAAGACCGCTCCTCAACACCGCAAAGTGTCTGTCGCCACTGAAGGTTACGGTAACAAACCCGGCGTCTCGCTCACCCTCTTACTCAATGGATCAATCAATAAGTCATCCACTTCCTCATTCCTCTTCACTCACTCATCTATCCACGTCACCAAATGCTAAGTTGCACTCGCCGTATGACATGACTGATGCGGTCACTCAGACGGACACACTGCTCACTCACTCATTCATGTGTTGTGTGAATGAGTGAGCTCATTGATCACAGACTCACTCGGGTCTGGTTTACATATGTGGACGATTTATCGAAGTGGAGTTTACTGTTTGTTGTTGTCATGTTTGTGTACTGATGTGCTGTTGTCTACAAGGAGTTTCTGAAGGGATCTCGTGATAGGAGGCTGAAATTGTACAGTGATACGGTGAAGGTGTATGTGTGTGTGAACATGGTGGAGGTGCGAAATTATTTATTATTATATATTATTTATATATAAGTTTTGTTTTACAATATCAAATCCCCTATGTTCTATCTCAGTATTTTGCAGTTAGTGTACCCTTTAATCGTTTTATTCTTTCTTTTGTTGTGTTCCTGGAGCGATTTTGCTACAATCCACAATTTGTTTGATTTGGTTTCCAGCTGTGAGCTGCTCCTGCATTTGCTAATAAATTAAACAAAACATCACTGCATATTTTTTTTTTGGTATACATACACTCAAGCTTATAAATAGTAGTATGTCTCTACTCTCTGTCTAGCTCTCTGACACTTCAGTAGAAAGGTAAATTTTCAAATTAAAATGGAAAAGTTAGTAGACGATGCAAAAAAAGATGGTCTATGTGGGAGAGGCCAATATATCTTGACTGTTGGCCTCGTATGGAATCATGATTAACCACATCATAGGTCTTTTTTTTAAACTTAAAAAAGCCTCTCTAGAGCCACA